TACTTCACAAAGTTTTTGGTACCCAATACTCGCAACATTAAATAATTAAACAAGATATCTTTTTAAAATGTCATTTTACTCTTGGTAATATTATTGTATTCCCCTTACCGCCTTGAATTTCAAATCGATTACATATCGAACTTCTGTACATGTTTTTTTTTTTTACTCTACTGCCTTTCCGTGTGAAAATAATGAGGTCATACTGATGCCATGTTGATGCCATGAGACTGCGAAGCTGAGGCCACGATGATGCCACAGATTAAGCGAGGCGAACACAGCTTCAATTGTCAATGACGCGAAGCTGATGCCACAATGATGCGATGCTGAGGCGACAATGAAGCCATGCGTAGGCGACAATGATGCCACAAAAGCCAAAGCTTCCGCGAGAACTGTACTGTACATATTTGAAGTAGCTTAAGAAACCTTTAGAAAATATATAAATCACAAATCAATTTTTAAACTGTTTTTTTTTTCCTGTTGCTAACTAATGTAGTTCATGAAATGTTAAAGACGAGTCAGTATGAATGAATGTAACATTTGAGGACTGTAACAAAACTCCATAAAATCTCCCAAGGCACGTCTGAGAAATGGTCAAGAAGAAACTCACATTGGGACATTCATACCAAGTTTAAATATAATTTCTGAGAAATAGTAGATAAGATGTTAATATTTTGTGACTTTAGCGGGTTTTTTTTCATAAAAATGGCCATCGGTCAAATTCCAAAACATAACTGAAGAAAACATGCAAGACATAATGTCTTGATTTTAAACCAAAATGAAACAAAATCTGCAAAATAACTCTAGACAATACATTCTCAAAATAGCATATCAAATTTGTTTAGAGATGCACCATAGATATATTTTCAGGATAATATCAATTAGACACGAATTAAAATTGACATATTAATATGTAATGAACAACCCAAGGTACTTTATATACAGAAGACATTGTAGAGCTGAGTTTGAAACACTGAATATGTAATCATCTTTATACATGGATTTGTTTGGCTAAACTGGTGCTAGAAGGATGGTCACTGGTCAGTATATATAGAGGTGGTCACTAACACATGTTTGATGTACCTATAGTCATGGGACTTACTTGATTTGAGGTAGTTCTCTGAGATAATTGAAAAGTTCATGAGCCAATGGCAACTCATTTTTATCTTGCCCAGATTGACTGTTACTTGTTCCTTTTTGGTTTTCTTTATTTTTATGTAGTCCCAATAGTCGTGAGATTTCAGATACTTGTATTGGTGTGAGAATGCCTTCCGTTTTGTCTGAATCTTCATTACCTAGGATGAACAATAAAAGACTACATATAAAATACAAATGCATGGATACAAAAAAAGAAATACACTAATTAGTAGCAGTTGTAGATTTATGAATGGTTGCCTAACCTGGGGTTGAACATTAAAAACTAGATAAGTATGCCACAGACTCAATGAGAAGGCCATCCCATATCTGGGTGAGTATGCCACAGACTCAATGAGAAGGCCACCCCATGTCTGGGTGAGTATGCCACAGACTCAATGATAAGGCCAACCCATATCTGGGTGAGTATGCCACAGACTCAATGAGAAGGCCATCCCATATCTGGGTGAGTATGCCACAGACTCAATGAGAAGGCCATCCCATATCTGGGTGAGTATGCCACAGACTCAATGAGAAGGCCACCCCATGTCTGGGTGAGTATGCCACAGACTCAATGATAAGGCCAACCCATATCTGGGTGAGTATGCCACAGACTCAATGAGAAGGCCATCCCATATCTGGGTGAGTATGCCACAGACTCAATGAGAAGGCCATCCCATATCTGGGTGAGTATATGCCACAGACTCAATGATAAGGCCAACCCATATCTGGGTGAGTATGCCACAGACTCAATGAGAAGGCCATCCCATATCTGGGTGAGTATGCCACAGACTCAATGAGAAGGCCATCCCATATCTGAGTGAGTATGCCACAGACTCAATGAGAAGGCCACCCCATATCTGGGTGAGTATGCCACAGACTCAATGAGAATGCCAACTCATGTCTGGGTGAGTATGCCACAGACTCAATGAGAAGGCCACCCCATATCTGGGTGAGTATGCCACAGACTCAATG